GCGCGGTACGTCGGCGGTCACGGAACGGCGTTCGGATTTAGGGAAACACCCGTTTAAAACGGTGGGATTTTCACCCAAAATTGAGGGGAGGAGCCAAGCTTGGCACTTGGGAATGTGATAAATGTAATATTAAATGGGATTATCTTAAAAAGATCATGGGTTTGATGGGTCTGGGCTCTTCCCTGTGAGGGTAGGGAGGCCCTGGCACAGGTTTTCCAGGGAAGTTGTGGCTGCCCCTGGATCCCTGGAGGTGTCCCAGGCCAGGTTGGAGCACCTGGGATAGTGGGAAGTGTCCCTACCCACGGCAGGGGTTGGAATGAGATGATCTTTGAGGTCCCTTCCACCCCAAACCATTCCATGATCGTGTCCCGCTCCTGACCCATCGTTGGAAATTTACGGCTCTTTCTTCCTTCCCTCCCGAATTCCAGGGCTGAACTTCCTCCTGCTGCAGCTCCCGGAGCATCTAAACAGCTGAGGCTGTTTGGAAATATCCTGGAAAACATCCAAGGAAGATGCCACCTCGTGGGACCTGCACGGCTCCTGCTGGGACATTCCCACACCACGGACATCCCAAAGGAAAAGATCCACCCGGAATGTTGGTTTTTATGGCCCTTCATGGACCTGCTCTCCGCTAAATTCCTTTAATTTGCCATCTCTTTGGACAAGGACAGGGAATCTCCAAGCTGCATCGACCTTTTATATCCCTTTGTAGCCCAAAGCTGATCCCAAATCTTGCTGGAATCCATAGTGGGACCTCGGCCTGGCAATGACATTGAGGGCTGGAAAAAAAGGAGCTGGAATTGCAAATTCCATAGAAACCTTGTTTATGCCTGATGCCAAGAGGGAAAACCAACGGGATTCTGCTTTTTTGGGGTAGGAGAGGTGGAAAATCAGGCAGGGAGTGAGTTGAGTGGTCTCGTTTCTCCATCTGTGGAGAAGGAGGAAAAATCCTCCCCAGGAGGAAAAAAGGAATTATTGCTGAAGGTGCTGGTGAGTAGTGGGAGCTGGATCAGCCCCTGGCTGGGCAAGGGAGTGCTTTTATCCCTATATAAAAATCCCAAATCATTCCATAAATCTGGTCCTGGCCTCCATGCAGTGTGTGCAAATCCCGTTCCCAAATCTGTGGTTTGGGTGGAAAAGGACCTTAAGGATCATCCAGTTCCAGGGGCAGGGACAACCTTCCAGAATCCCAGGTTGCTCCAGCCTGGCCTTGGACACTTCCAGGGATCCAGGGGCAGCCACAGCTTCTCTGGGAAAACCTGGGCCAGGACAACCAAGTCCCACTGACCCATGTCCCCACGTGCCACATCCAGGTGTCCTTTAAATCCCTCCAGGGATGGGAATTCCACCACTTCTCCCTTAAATCCCTCGAGGGATGGGAATTCCAACATTCTCCTTAAATCCCCCCAAAAATGGGGACTCCTCCACTCTTCCCTTAAATCCCTCCAAGGATGGGGACTCCCAACCTTCTCCCTTAAATCCCTCCAGGGATGGGGACTCCAACATTCTCCTT